ACATAATTTTTCAATCACAGTAAACTTTTTATATATTTTTAAGAGATTATATAAAAAAATATTAGTATATTTTTAAGTAAAACTTAAATTTTAGAATTTTAATATTCTTTTAAGCTATATATTATAAAATAATTTATTATATTTTAGTGTTAATAACACTTTTAGTCCCTGAAATATGCATGTTTTATCAGTTTAGTTCTCATTATCAATGTTGTCAATTTGGTTTCTCAAGGTTTGAGAAAGAGAAGAGAGAAAGGAGGGGAAGAACAAAGGAAAGGAGGGGATGTATTAAGCAAAGAAAGGGATTTGAAGATAAGGGATAGGATCGATTAGATTTGATGAACAGTAAAGGGTAGGGAGGGGGGAGAGAAGGGAGCCAAGTCACTGGTTGACTTAATAGTATTTCAAAAGAAAATAAAGTTCATGGAGTAAGTTTTCAAGAACCTCTTGTATATTAATTTTTTTGCATTGGTTCATATTGACATTGGTGGATAACTAATACATGTATGTATCTAAATGGTAAATAATTTGAACTGGAATTACTTGGGCTGGTAGAATATTTTAGATGGTTGAAATGATGATCCTTTAAATTGAAATGCAGAAAACACTCATATATCATCTTTCTGGGAGGTAATTAAGAGAGAATTAAAGTAAGATGCTTGGGGGTGGCATGGAAGAGTGCAATGTCGAATGATTTACACTGTCTATTGCCTATCTTTGATTCATTTGATGCAGTAGGAGCATATTTATATCTAATGCTTATGCTCTTAATTAATTTTGCTGCTTGTCATTAATTTAGGTTATCCCGAACAAGTAATTCAGATGGAGAAGCTGGAGAAGTCTACTTTGATGATTAAATGCTTATCTTGTTGCAATTTTGTCACAAAATTGGTTGGAAATTTTTTTTGTACAACTTAATGGTTGTTCTTCAGATTTTTCAAATTCAGTAATGCTTCCTAGTGCTGTGAAAATGTAACCAATGCAGGACTAGAGGGGTTTACCTATTGCAAGGATTAAGAAGGAGAAGGTTTTTGATGACAAAGGTTGATTGTTGCCCGATGCCTGTAATATTAGGTGAATGCCTTGTTGTTTTTACTGTGCTGATGCTCCTGCTGTTGTTGCTCTGGTATGTTTTGGGGAAGCTAGATGGAGGCTGAGCTTGTGGAGATGTAAATTGGGATTGATTTTTCCTTTGCTTCTTGTAATATTCTTTTGATCCATTTTACCTTCTTTTGTCATATAAGATATTGTTAGTAGCTTGACTATCCATTTTTCATCTGGTGTGGAATCCCTGGATATTTAAAATTTTCATTCTAGTGAAAATGCAATGAGTTAGGATTTATTATTGAACAAAAGTATATTAATTATCATTATAGGCGTTTATTTAAACACAAAAAATCAGTTGCTTAGAAATAATAATTATTGGTGTTTAAATAAAAGTCATAAGATAGCTCCGGTCACCGAAATTTTACAAGGAAGTTGTCGATTAAATAAGCGTCACTTCATTATTTAGGAAACGTCACTTTAATTTTTATAGTGTTTAATTATACGTTGATAATTTTTCCGACAAAAGTTTTGACGACGTTAATAACAACTGTCAGTAATAATATTTTGTGGCATTTTATTTACATTTTACCGGTGTTTAAACGCCGATAAATATTTTTTTTCTTACAGTGTTTGAAGAAATTTTTTTTCTTTCTAAACTTTTATCCATTCAGTGGACTTTCAATCAGTGGCAAGTTTTTGCACACTATCGATTAGGTGGATTTCATTGAATGGTGAGTCTATCTACTATCCTTGAATTGTTCATTGTGTTATCTATAAGCTTTAAAGGCATCGTGGCATTACCTTAGAAATATTGACAAGAACGGGACATGAATCGAAATGACACGAATAGGATATAACACAAAGATTAGATAACTTGATTGACACCCTCCTAAAATACTCAGTGACATGCTTTGTGAGAGATGCGTACTATATTCTCTTCACTTGCATTGAGAGCATAAACAAACCAAATGTAATTGACACCCTCTTGAATACTCATTAACATGCTTTGTGAGAGATGCATACTGTATTCTATTCTGAAGCACTGAGAGCATAAACAAACCAAGTTGTTAACATCATGAATGCTGACAAAGAAGCACCAATAATAAATCCCAATTCCAAAGCCACCGTGGACTTTAATCCTAAAACTGCAGAAGAAATTCTGTAATCCAAACAATCGTCATAGTGAAACAAATAGTCATAAGTATCATGATTCCTTGTATTAATATATAAGTTTTCCCAATGTTCCCAATTAAAAAAAAAACACCCGTACATTGTACTTTTTCTTGTGGCGCTTTAGTATTGATACTATTTTGTTTGGCCAACTGCATTGGCTTCTTGATGTCTACTCAAAGCAAAGTCTAATTTGAAATCCAAGTTGCTCCATTGTGACTTGAACACCACAAGTTCGAGTTGCCAAAAAAAAAAAATTCTCTATATGCGTGGTTAAATTGTATACATTGAACCTTTTCAAATTGTTAGTATCACTTGACGTTTCACATGCCAACTTTTCTTATGCATATATACTGAAGCACATGCACCCCTTTATTCACTAATGTCAAAAGTCATTTCCATGGAATTCATCCATCCCATCAAACAGGAACTTTCTTTTTTTTTTTTTATCAAACAGGAATTGCCTCGGTATCTTGTCTAGCTTTCTACTATTCCAATCAAATCATATTTTTTTGATCGGTTAATCAAATCATCCTCAGTCAAACAAATATAGCATCATTAAGTGTAGTGATCAAACATATTTGATGCCAGCAGGTATGAGATTCTTCCTGTATATTTGATTTTAAAGCTTGATAGAACATGTGAAGCTTGTAGACGTAACACAATCTCAAAGGCATATATTTGTCTGATTTTTATTCTGATAAACAAACAAGACATGAGAATTTTCCATCCACAAATGTACAATAATATAGTAGTTAAATAAGTTGTCGCAAGTCGAAACTGTGCACAAGGATGTTTTCTATAGTAGGTTTAGAAGAAGTAAGTGATTGAGAGTCTTACTCCTATTTTGAAGGGTCAGACTTTCGGAATGAAAAATGGAAATAAATTAGAACAAAATTGTAACTAAAGCTAAAATAAGGAAATAAAAGTCACAGAATTGGAATTGAAACAGGGAGCACTTGTAACTGGGGAGATTAAACCGAACCTTTTAAGCCGGTGTATGTCCCAAGAATATTACACAGTTCATTTGACTTTATACATCTAATTGTCATATGGCATGTATTGTGAGTTTGATAAAGAATTGGGTTCAGACCAATGAAAAAAATTAGCTGTGACATTACAGGACTAGAGAGAGAAAAAAAAAAGGGTTCGACTTTGGGAGAAAAGACAGAAACCACTCACACCCTTTTCTCTTGCCATAAACAGTTTTCTTTTGGTTCTTCCCCAAGTATGAGTGATGCTCTTATGAGAAATCATTAAGGACATAGTCCAGTGGCATGGCATAGCCACCTGATTTGCTGATTAGATTGCCTGTAGGATAATGGAAGGAAGCTCAACTTTTTTCATCTTTAGTTGTTTACATAAGTTTTTCAACCACATTCCTGTAAGATATATTAAAAAAGAAGAAAAGAAAAAAGAAAGCAGCAACTCGATGCACGAGACTCTCAACATTATGGGATCTGTTGAAGTTAGATGTATAAATCTTACCGTTTATGTAATTTGTCGGTGTCTTTGTGCCAGCCTAACTACTAACTAGTTTTGATTTAGGCAATTTCATTCTTCTCCTTCCCAATTGTAAGGTGGGATTCCACCAATTTCATTCCTGTTCTTCCCAATTGGAAGATAAGATTCCACCAATTTCCATTGGAATCGTTGCATGAATGCACCAACTTTTCTTTCACTTAATACTGTCTCCCAAGTGCTCTAATGCTTGTAAAGAGCCACTTGGAATAATACTTGGGGAAATGTAATCGATCGGTCCATGTTATTCATCAGTTTGAATAAAATAAGGCATAATTACTTTGATTATGGAACAGCAGCTAATTCACAAATAACACTTTTAATGAAAGAGAGTTGTTTTGTTATGACATTAAGACAAAACAAGCATATGAAACTTGCACGTGTATGTGCACGAAGTGAGTGAGAAAGACAGAGTGGTAAGCAAAAGATGACATAAAGAGCATACTTTATATATTCTTTGTGCCTTCGAGTAAGTAGATACACCAAAGCTTGTGAGTGTTCAAAAGTTAAGTAGGATTATGTACATAAATATTTGTTTGTGAATCGTTATCTAATGTTTAATATTTTGAAACATTAGATAAAGATTGGGGCATAAGAGCATACAAGATTACTCCAAAACTTTGAAAGCAACATGATGTATGAGTTCTCTCGAAGTTTAATATTTTGAAAATACACCGTATAAAGTTAGAAACTATGATGTGTAATGGGACATGTCATTTCAAACATTTTGGTGATTAAAGTAAGTAACGCAGTGTTTTAAGTAATAAATATTGCTAGAGTTCTCATATCAATATAATAATATCTTCCAAACTAGAATACAGGTTTTATGAGTCTCTCTATCTATAGCCGCATACTTTTGAATTGTAAGTTTTAACAAATATATCTTTCAAATTAATGAGGTGAGGTCCTATAGACATTTTCAAGAGAAGTGTCTACTCTTCATACCACCAACTTCTCACAATCACCACACAACCTGCATGCATCATATAGCATTAAAACCCTAACACCATTTGGTGGTCAATAATTTCAATCCCACTTCCTAACAAAATATGGCAAAGATAGAAACAGCTACCCTTAGAGAACCACAAAAACTATTCTCTCTTTTATTGGATTCTATAATGAACAGAAGAATTTTTGTCGATTCACCAATGCGTAATACTTTTGCTAATGGATAAGGGAATCTAAAGAAGACTGACAGTGCTGTTTCTCTTTAGGTTTGCTTTCTTTGTGTATAAAAGGCCATTACTCATTTCAGTTTACTCAAACAGGGGCAAGAGAGAGAGAGAAAGATGGGAGACCAGAAGCTATGTGGCGCATTGGGGCTAGTACTCACCAAATTGAAACCCTACTTGGCTATGGTCTCCCTCCAATTTGGGTATGCAGGGATGTTTATAATCACCATGGTTTCTTTGAAGCGTGGCATGAGTCATTGGGTCCTGGTAGTGTACCGCCATGCAGTTGCCACACTAGCCATGGCTCCATTTGCACTTCTTCTTGAAAGGTAAGTCTGTTTTGTCTTCTCTCTCTCTCTCTCTCTCTCTCTCTCTCTCTTGTATTCATATTTAGAGGTATATATATTGAAGCGGACAATTGTTTGTCTCTTGTTTTGCAGGAAGATCAGGCCAAAGATGACAATCTCAATCTTCCTGAAAATAATGCTGCTCGGCTTACTAGAGTAATGCTCTTATACCCTCAAGAATTTATTTTATTTTTTTGTATACAAACTACGAAATACAACGGCAACCCGACCATCCTCTTTTTTGAAACGAAAACCAACTGGAAAATTCATTTCTTCTTACAAAAATTTTTATGTTATATTTGTCAATTATAAGAACATAATATATCAGTATGGGATGTGCTATATATTACATTGATGTGAGTCAAGTTTTAACAGTTAACACCTTCTCGTAGCTCTGACTCTTATTCGTATATAAAGATACAGATAAAAGATCTAAAACAACAGTGGCAATATAACAATGTGAATAAAGGAGGAATTGGAAGAACTTAACCAAAATTTTCTGAAGTTTACTATGATATTATGTTAGAACATCCGATTTAAAACCAGCTTTCCATTTACGTTCGGGAGAAAAAAAACTCTAATAAAGACCTGAAAACTTTCCAACACCCATTACACAACTTACACATTTATGAATTTTCTTAATCATTAGGACAAACATGTCCACATGTTTAAGAAACATGGCACAAAAGAGTGCATGAAAGCAAATATGAAGAATAAATATGTCCATTTGTTTAAGATTCATAGTACTACCGATTGTGAACCATACTAAAAGATAATAGTGTGTATTTTTAAAAAACATGGTGATGAATCCTGGCTTGCTTTACACTATAAGGTAGCATGCTTGTGTTTCATGCTTTTTATTGTTAAGTGGGGCAAGTGTATATGCTTTATCAGTCCCCTATATGGTTTTCTGCTCAATATTTTTATACGTCACAGACAATAATGGCATGAATAAAGGAGGAACTGATTGAATTGGAATAAAAAGAGTTTTCCAAAACCTACTGAAATCAAACTTTAAGATAATGTTAGGACATTAAACTCGAAACTAATTGACAATTAGTAAAATGCTGACAAAGTTTATATATTATATCGATATGAGACAAGCTCTAATAAAGACACATAAACTTTCCGAACACCCATTATACAACTTATACATTTACATGAGTTTTTAAAATCGTTAGAACAAATATGTCCATTTGCACAAGATTCATGGAACAAAAGATAGTGCATCAGAAAGCAAATATAAAGAACAAATACGTCCATTTGCTGAATTCTCATAGCACAAACTAGTGTGCCTGAAAGCAAACATGAGGAATCATATACTAAAAGATATTCCTCATATCTGCTTACACAATGAGAACAGTTTGCATGGCTAAACGTCAACATTGGCAATAACCCCATGTGTATGGGTTATTGAAAGGTGAAACCTACCTGGGCCACTCAATTGGGTGGGTTGAGAATAGAATTAGAATTACTAAAGTGCACTTAGCATCAAAATCAAACACTTTATTCGACGAACGACAATATTATCATAAATAACATTCGATTTGAGTCACATCCTGGAGCCTACATATTTTTTTTATTTTTATCCAATCATCTATGCAATAAAATACAATATAATTTAAATCTCAAAAAATAAATAAAATGACTTTATTTTTCGTGGTTTAAATTTCTTTAAATTTTTACTTTAAAGTTAATCCGATGACTAATATTAATACCCTAAATTTAATATAGAAAATAGAATTCTAAAAGTGTGTTTAGGATAACTTTTTAAAACTACTTCTAAAACTTATAACTTCTCAGAAGTACTTTAAAAAAAATAGTGTTAGGAACCGCTTCACCACCACCACCACCATTGCAGCCAAGCCACCCCCACCGCCACTACCGTTGTCGCCACATTACCACCACCACTGCCCCACCGCCTCACTACCATCATCCCCACTACCACCATCACCATCATCACCTCCACCGTCACTCCACTACCACTACCACCACTACCGTTGTCACCACCCTACCACCATCACGGTTACTGTCTCATCACCACCCCATCCCCACAACCATCACCACTACCGTCGTCACCACCATCGCCGCCACCCTCACCACCACAGTTATTGCCCCACCACCCCACCCCCACCAACCCACCACCATCATTATCATCTCATTCTTATATTTATTACCACTATCATAATCATCTTATTACCACCATCGCCTACCCTTATCACCCACCACTATCCACCACCACCCGTTGTCACCCACCATCGCCGCCAACCACTGTCACCCATCCTCACCACACCTACTACCACCATCACCGCATTCGTTACCACCCATCCCACTGTCACCTAGAAACACCTGTTGTCCCCCACCACCACCATTTTCACCGCCCACCATCACAACCCACCACCGCCACTGCCACCACCACTGTCAACCACAATCATCGTCGCCCACCACCACCCACACCCACTACCACCACCGCGGTCACTCATGACTATCACTACCACCATTGTCACCCAAAATCCACCACCACCACAGTGATCACCTCCCACCACAACCATTATCGTCTCCCACCACTATCACTACAAATGGTACTTAAATTCTGTTCTTTCTTCTCTATGTTTTGGATTTGATTTTTGTTGTAAATAGAAATATGTCTATTGTTGATTATTTATTTTATTACTTTATGCCTTCAGGCATGGGAAATAACTAATTCTCAAATATAAGATGTGATAAAGGTATCTTATTTTCCTCTCTAAACCTATCCCAAAAACTCAATTACATGGGAAAACTATGACTCAGTTTTTTAATTTTAGAATTAAAAAAAATATATTTTATTAAATTCTCACTGACGGTTGGCGAACTATTTAGCTGGACTGCCTGATGGGCGTTGCAAGTCCGGGTCATAAGCGGTTTAACTTATGAAAATAATAATGGGAGTCTGATACACTATACTGGGTCATTTTTCCGGATATCATTTTCGCAACACCAAATTTTTATTGTGACTTGTTGAAAAACCAGAGAACCACTAGATACTAATGAGTATTGTATTTGTGTATTTGATGATTGGATTGCCAGGCCCGTATTCGATCAAAACTTATACTACGTGGGAATGCAGTACACATCAGCAACATTTGCATCTGCCACAATCAATGTCCTCCCTGCCATTACATTTATAATGGCAGTTATTTTCAGGTACAATCACAATCACAATCACGACATGGTAGGATTTAGTGAGAATCACTAATATAATGGTCCACATAGAAACAGGCTTGACTAGCTACAAGGGGAACCATTTTTCTTGCAGGAAAGGAAAACATATATTTCATTAAAAAAATACTACATAATTCAAATAAAATCTAAAAAGTGCGACATAAATGTATATTATCACTTGAATGAGTATTAGATGAGTGACTCTTACTGAAAAAATTGATGGGATCCATTTTTTTAAGAGATGATATGCATTTGAGTTGTATAATATTACTCATTTCATATATGTATCTATAGGTGTCAAGGATAAATTTTTTATTCGTGTTTCCACCGAATGGATCGAAACATTTTGGTTTCTATAGAATTGGTATTTCAATATCGAAAGTCATATGATTCGAGGTGTTTTAATAAAATTTCGATGTTTTGAGGCATGTCAAGGTATTTTCGATATGTTTCAAAAAACTTCAGAAACAAATTTTAAAATTTTCTCCGCTTTCCAAGTTGTTCTGGAGATGTTTCTGAAACATTTCCATTTTTTGGCCAAGCATCAAAGCCCTTTTACTGGATTGAGGCTAGCTAGCCCTTTACTAGAATAATAAAAAGAAACTATACAAGCATCAAATTAAACAAAGTTTTGATTCTTGGTAGGGGAGGGTGTGATGCTTGGCATTTTTCATTACCTATCTGCTATATATTTATGCTCTTTTGATGTGATTAGGTTGGAGAGAGTTAAAATGAAACAGATACACAGTGTAGCAAAGGTGGTCGGAACAGTCATTATAGTCACCGGAGCAATGCTGATGAATTTGTACAAAGGTCCCATTGTTGATATCTTATTCTCCGGAGGAGGAGGAGGAGGAAACCACCATAAACACAGCAGTAGCTCTTCTGCTCAGCACTGGACCACCGGGACAATAATGCTCCTTTCCTGTGTTTTTGGTTGGTCTGGTTTCTTCATACTGCAAGTGAGTTCTCAACTGCCTATGCACATACGTCTTTTTCAAACATTTTTTACCCTTACTTTAACTCCAACAACTAAAAAAAAAAAGATGGGAATTTGTTTTGATGCTATTGCGGAATTTGGGTAGGGTTAAACGTACACTTGTTCCAGGTATGATGGCGGTTTATATGACTCGAATTCTTAACAAATTTTAAAAAGTTTTCAGTGCTTTATTTTTAAGTGAAAAATATTATTTTAACTTAATTTAGATACTATACATATCATTACTTTAACTCGAACAACTAAAAAGAAAAAAAGATGAAAATTTGTTTGTATTGAAATTGGGATAGGGTTAAATGAATACTTGTTCCTGTTATAACGGCGGTTTAAGTGACCCTAATTCTTAATATGTTTAAAACTTTTTCAATGCTTTATTTTTAAGTGAAAATTGTTATTTTGACTTAATTTGGTGATTATTGAATTAAAGTGGGTTCAATCTAATATTGAAATTTATAATTAATCCAATAACGGCATTAAATTAAGTCTCAAATTAGTCTCCGCACTTTTTAATTGGTCTTAAAAAAGAAATTAAATTAAATTACACTTTAACCCCTCAACTATATCCTTTGTCTCATATTGTCCTCTTCACTATCTTCTTTCGCACATTGTACCTCCAAGTATACTTACTAGTTTCACTTTGCCCCTTAAGCTATCATGTTTATGATTATTGATTTGAAATTGCCCTAACTGTAGACATTAAAGATGCATATTTTAATATGTAGTTGCACACCTCACACTCAAAACATGCTCGTTTTGGGGAAATGTGAAACTTGTTCAAATAATTAAGTGGGCAATGTCAGAAATTCAATAGTTGAGGGGCAAATTGAGATCAAGGCCATAGCTGAAGTGTAATTCACCCAAAAAAATAAACACAAAGACTTGTTAAACTTTCAATTTGCCTTAACCTGCATCATCTATAACAATTTAAGGATTCCTTTTAGGAAATTAAAATTTACCCTTTTTTTAGTTTTACAATAAACAAAGTTGATTAGTTGTAAATCTATCACTGCAACATGATTGAATTTGAACAATAATGTGGGTGTAATTTTGGCTCAGTCAATTACCTTGAAGGAGTACCCAGCAGAGCTCTCTCTCGCAGCTTTGATATGCTTGTTGGGCATGGTTGAAGGTGGAGCAGTGGCACTTGTCATGGAAAGAGACATGAGTGCTTGGGTAGTTGGTTTCGACTCCAGGCTTCTTGCTGCAGTCTATTCTGTAAGTAACATTTCATATAACAACACTACTATTTGGATCTAATTTATTGAGTTAATCCATCACAATCATTAGATTGAAAGTAAGTCTCAACTAATATTGGGATTTATTGTTAATTTAACGACAACGATTGATTAGATCAATAAAGGGATACACTTGAATACATAATGAATAATATCTTATCGGACGATAATGTATTGGAAAGAATTTGAATCCACTTCACCATACAATTATTTATGCACCATTTCCTTGGTGATGAAACTTATGAGAACGTATTCTTACCCCCTATGCAAAGAGATTGCTTCGGTAACTCGAGATCCAAACCTAATTATAATGAAAGAGCATTACTATTGTGTAAATACTCATTCTCGTTTATGAGCCTGAAAGTTGAAGGACAAAATGATATTATATTTTTCTGATAATATATGTATACAGTTTTGAAGAAAAAGTGGTCTGGTCTCAATTGCCCATGTGTCTAACTTGATGAACATGTTTTTTTCCTGTGTTTAGGGGATAGTTTGCTCTGGAATTGCATACTATTTGCAAAGTATGGTGAACAAGGCTCGAGGTCCACTGTTTGTAAGTGCATTCAGCCCTCTCTGCATGATCATCACGGCCATTCTAGGGGCCTTAGTTTTGTCCGAGCAAGTTCACCTCGGAAGGTATTATTGTACTAGCACTTCCTCTCTCTCAAACTCATCTACCATAACTCTCAGATTGTGTAACATGTAGCAGATATTTAGCAGGCAATCGAGTTGTGTCATGTAATGTTCGGATTTTGATATTTCAATGTAATGTCACCTAAGTATAAAATTGTGAATTAGAAACCACAAGTCTAGATCAAGAAATGAATCATATTAAAATACAAATTGGACATTTTCGTCTTATAAGACCAATTAATAAAAGATTTTTCATATCGAACTCTAGTTATATATGTTTAATACTAACTCGACCCATTTATTTTTATTATCAATTAATCATTTCATTTATGGGTTGCTGTCATCTTAATCTAAAAAAGATTGCTAAGTTTTGTTGTACAGATTGCTCAAGATTTAATTGGTGTTAAACTTGCTCATAAATCTCATGATTGTTAATGTTGATCTCAGTTTAATTGGAGCCATCATCATTGTCATCGGTCTGTACTCAGTGGTGTGGGGAAAAAGCAAAGATCAGCCAAGTTCCATGAACTCCATAACCAGTGAGAATGGCCAATCCAATGAATTGCCAGTAGTTAACACCACCAAATCCAGCGTTAAGGTTGGTGGTGATGGCATTGATGGACCAGTAAAAAGTTGTCTACCACAGGAGCCATGATAGAGAAGCACAATCTCTCTCTCTCTCTCTCTCTGTTTCACCTCGTGGAACTGAATCTAAATATGTCGTTTTTTGTGCATCAATACAAGTTGAAATCCATGTTTCTCAAGTTAACTGAATCACTGCAACTGTTTTTGTTAACGTTTGTTTTCCGAGGCGTTTATTAACTTTGGGAGGAAGGCGATATGAATTCGAGTCCGACAATCAACCTCAACAAAAGAGGAGAAAAGTTACCAACCACTCATCTCTGTTGAACCCCTCAATTGATGAAGCCTTTTACCCTTAGTCGGTCTTTTTTATTGTCTTTAAAATTTGAAATGTATCATACTGTGACTCAACTAAATCAAAGAATCTGTTTATCCATGTTCTCCCTGTGCACCTTCTCAATTTGTTTTTTTTTTTTTTACTTTCCAGTTGCTCTCTTTTTTCTCTATTGCTTTAGTTTGATTAACGAATCAGCCATTTGCAATATGCTGTGTTTGTTTTGCGAAAGTATCATGTCACATCCTACTTTCAAATTGTGATGATAGTAAATTGCCTGCCAATTAAGTCTTCCAAACCCTACTAAAAGCAAGGACCTGGTGCACTAGGATCCTTATTGTCAAATTGATCAAAATCGCGAACCTCAAAAACAAATACAGCCGACATACAGGTACTAACCATAGTCTTTGATGAACAACAGAAATTAACTTTCACAAGCAAAGATTGCTATATTCTGCATGTGGATTTGCTTACAAGTTTCAAATCAATGAATTAAATCAAGAACTAGTTTAAATTTGTGGGTTTTTGCTTACTGATCATTTCATGGCTTGAAGTGAGAGGAATTACCCCAATTGGATTAGGTTTTAGATAATCAGATTTGCATGGAGAGAGAGAGAGAGAGAGAGAGAGAGAGAGAGAGTAATAACTCTACTTGAGAAGCTAGACTGAGATGAAAGATAAGAGAGCCAGAGAATAGAGTTTGAATCCGAAAAGAGGGAAGAGAAGCTCGAATAACTGGGATGAGAGGTGCAGCTATGAGTGAGAGACAGGGTCTGCAATCAAAAATCTGTTAGAGCCCTGACCCTACTTTCTCAGATGTATATATAGACACACACACACGCGCACACACACACACACACGCACACACACCCCTAATTTACGAAGTTCAGTTTGGATTTGTTCCTAACAAATCAAGACCTCAATTCAAATACTTAAATTGAGTTTTATTTTTTTCCCCAAAACCAACCCAATAACAGAATTATTATCTCACACCCTAATATTTGGATATTTCGGGTCCAAGTTGACCCTGTTCAAGTTGCACCCCTAACCAATCAGATGTTTTTCCAAGAAGCTATAAGTTACCATGTAAGGAAACTCGGCTTGTATATCTAAAAGGCTAGATGCATCCAGAAAGAGTTCAGTTGAGTAGAAGAGGGTATTGCTATTTGGATTTTATTTTGAAGGTCAAAATGACATTGGGTAGCCAAACAGAAGAATTAGTTTCTTGATGTCTTGACATTTGACAATCAGCATCAAGAAGTAAAGGAGCAGCATGATAAGAGGGTTTAAATTGATAATTTCACTGCGAGCACCAAGTCTTTTTCTAAATGTTTTAATGTCATTATTTAAGGTATTTCTACAAACTCTTATGATTTGGTCCACCCTTTCATTGAAGCAAAGTTCAAATTTTCCCTCAAAACTTCATCTTGATTGAAGTTCCTCTTCATCTCTAAGATCCAAATGCAATAAATTTTTCTTCGAAGAATCAAGAATGTAGTATTAGGATCAGATAGAAAGTACCAAGCTCACTTTCCGGTAAAAAAACCACCATGCACATTATAGAATGGGGCATAACAATCACAAAAATATTAAACTGACTCTTCACAGAATTAAGTGCATACAAATTCAATGTAGTGAATGCATGAATATCAACTGTGGAACATACCAAAAAAATTTGGCCAATGATAATTACCTGAGATCAACCATGCAGGGGGCATTTTTTTTTCTCTCCATGTCCCTAGCTGCAAAACCCAGTGGCACTCAACTTCATAACACAACTGAATTTCAAATTCACTATAACCATTTTAAAATGCATTAGACTTTTTGGGAGGATACATCAAACACAACATTTTAAAAACTTCCTTCGAGACATATATACCCTAATGAATTACTAAACTAGCTGAATTTATCAACCGTACCATTAAAATTCTGTATATCCTACATCACAGGCCACACGCTCCCAACCCCATATTAAATTAACTGAAAAGGAAAATGCATCATATATCTTTGTACTTCTACGATGAAGGCCCTCGTCACGTCATCTCTCAAGTCAACTACCCATGATTCAATCACTCTGCTCATCATCACCTGTGAAATAAAGGAAGAAAGATATAAAAGCTCCAACTTAACAACCTCCAGATTTGACCAAAAAAAAACAACCTCCGGATGAATTGGATTGGAAAGATAGTATATCAGACTGTCTCAATGCAAGGTCACAAAATATAGCATGTAAGTTTGTTTTGTGAAAAAATGCAGACTCTCATAATGAGACAAAATGAAGCCATCTTTTTTTGCGCGTTTTTGAAAGTTTGTTTAGTTGTTTGGGTCAAGAAATATGGGATAAGCCTTGAAAAACTTCAAAATTATCAGTTTCATTCTGCATTAAATTTGCATGTGAACAACTACAACCACATCTCACTAAACTCTTCCATTGTAGACTAGAGCCAAAGACCTGTCAAAAACACTCTCCCTAGATTCTATGGTCCCCGATGTCAAAAGGGTACTAAACAACCACTAATGTGGAAATTATTTGCAATTAGTAACTTATCTCTGAGTTTGATCAATGTATCCATATTTCTAAATTCCTTTTTTTTTACCCGATATGATTTCAAGAGGACCACAATTCCTGTGTTACATACAATAAGGACAGGTTACCAGCACATACCTAAGAAGCACATACACGAGATACGAATACGACACAACCCGGACATGCATACACGACATTTCTAAAATAAGTAAGACACGGATACGTTAGAAACACTCTATATATAAAAAATTATATAATTTATCACAAATATAGTGATAATGATATATTATTCATAATAATTTAGTACTTTATGATAAGTAAATGTTATGTCATCTAGTGTGAATTTTTAGACTAACGTCATTGTTAGAGTTCTTATTTTATATATAAAGTCATAAGTCTATTAGAGTAGGGTAATATTGGAATTACCCTAAATATTACTTAGTTATAAATAAGATGGTATATGTGAAACCCGAGCATACATGCATAGTGCGTAGATAAAAAAAATTAGAAAAATATTTTTATAGGGCTTGTTTTAATATGTATGTAATTATAAAACAATTCAATTAAAAATTAAAACAAAATAGGATTTGAGGTATTTACGAAAATACCATTGCATGGCATTTTCTTCCAAGCTGCTGTCCAGCTGCAGCAGGACGTTCCTCACCACTTTGCAACACTCCAAAAGGTTTGAGGAGCTGCTCAAGGCTTCTGCTGAGTGTTAAGATCAGATAGAAACGGTTGGATGAGAGAGAAAGAAAAGAGAGAAGTTAGAGAGAGAAAGATGGAGTGAAGATCAAATTTTCTTGGGAGGCGATTCGAGCACCAAGGGGTACTTTGCTAACCTAATTAGGGTGCTAGGAGTTCATTTTTTTATGTTTAAAACATGTTTTACATACGATACAAGCATTAAATCATGTTTTGAAATTTTCGTGTTTACATGGGTATTGGAACAAGTTTGAGTTTTAGTTTGGTTTTAGCTTGAATTGAGGTTTGGGAATGGTTTTTGAGTGGTTAATATGAAGTTTAGTGGTGGTTTGAAGGGTGGCCGTGGTCGGCGGTGGTGGTTCGAAGAAGATGAAGTTCATGGTTAGGGTTTGAGTATCTTGAAAATCAAAGCTTTGAATCTTGAGTTTTAAAAATGTAAAGTGTATTGGTCTAGACTAAAACCAACCTTAAGAATTTATTGGTGACCTTAGAAATGGATTTTGAGTTCATGTGGTGGGACAAAAAGGCAATTGCAAGTCTGGTCACGAGGTGTAAAACCTTATTTTTTCAAACTTTGGTTCAATTTTTGGATAAGTTAGAGGTTGATTTGAAGGGTCTCACCTATGGAGATCTGAAGATGGTCGTGGTGCGGGATTAGGATCTGAAAACAGGTCTAAAGGTGTTCAGTGGAGTGAGTTATGAATTAATATGTGGTGTAAAATGTCAATTTTCCCCTCCAATGGCAATTTGACCCAACGTTTGGGTATTTTCACCAAACAAATTTTATATTCATTCTTAGGTAGGTTAATTGAATATGTGTATGGAATTTCAGAAAAATAATATCATTTTAGTTTTGGTTGTTTCGGATCGAAAAGCAATGCAAAGTAGGGTTTCTCAATTCTAGATCAAACGAAGCTTTTCAAAGTCAGTTTTAAATTATGTCTTGCATTATTTTTAACTATTAGCATATTTTAAAATTATATGATTGGGTATTTGAACTCAGACTTGGAATTTTAGATCTGAATTAATGTTTTGAGTGTGGTAACGCACAATAGTCCGAAACAATAGATTTGACTATATCGGAATCCTTTTAAACTAAATATAAGTGCACAAAGGTCGGGTGGCAAAAAGATTTATGTTCTAGTTTGAGGCCATAGAGGATGCTCATTGAGTTCATAAACACCCGGATGACCAGTTGATCTTCGGACTTTGGGTACTGAAATTAAGTTCTGACGAATACGAAATGTCACGAAACAAATTCATATACATTCATTTGCATCAGTTAAGTTATTTTTGAGTCGATACTCATTTGTATTCATCCATGTGTCAACTGTAAAAGTGAAGTGTACTGCTTCACATTAATTAGAAATAAAAGTACATGATATCAAGTTTATTTTCTTGTATGTGAGGAATCAATTTTGATGAATTGATTTGGGTTGAATTGCTTAAACTATGGATCAAATATGCTTTTATAAAAACTTGTGATTTTAGTATTATCTCTTATGCCGAGTTATTGATAGCTTGACATAACTTACATGTTGATTTGGACAATACACAGTTGTTGTGAGACAGCTTGCCTTTACTTAAATATTGTACATAGGCCGACATTGCTTAAAT